ATTGTGCAGAGATGGGAGGCTGTTGCTCTGTCTCGATGTCATGTGATCAAGTGGTGAATCAGTTCTCTCAATGGTTATGTGTCAACTTCAGTTATATTCACAACCTGTCCCAGAATCTAGCAGCTCTAGAGAAAGCTATGGGAGTGCTGAAAGCTAAGCGAGATGATGTGCAAAGACGGGTAGACAGAGAAGAATTCACAGGGGGTCGTCGAAGGCTGTCTCAAATCCAGGTATGGCTTACGAGTGTCCTAACCATCGAAAACCAGTTCAATGATCTCCTTACTACTAGTAAGATTGAGCTTCAAAGGTTGTGTCTTTGTGGTGTTTGCTCCAAAGATTTGAAATTGAGCTATCGTTATGGGAAAAGGGTTATTCTGATGTTGAGGGAAGTTGAGAGTCTCAGTTATCAAGGAGAAGAATTTGATGCGGTGACTGAGGACGCTCCAAGAGCTGAGGTCGAAGAGTTGCCTATTCAACCCACAATTGTTGGTCAGGAAACAATGCTCRAAAWGGYATGGAACCGTYTWATGGAAGAYAGAGTYGGKATTGTGGGTCTGTATGGTATGGGTGGAGTAGGCAAAACCACCCTTCTCACGCAGATCAACAATAAGTTTTCTGAAATAGGTGGCGGATTTGATGTCGTGATATGGGTTGTGGTCTCTAAAAATGCAACAGTCCATAAGATTCAAGAAGACATCGGGGGAAAGCTAGGCCTTGTGGGGAAGCAATGGGATGAGAAAACTGAAAACCAAAGAGCCCGTGACATCTACAACGTTCTTAGGAGGAAGAAGTTTGTGTTGTTGTTGGATGATATATGGGAGAAAGTGGATTTAAATACGGTAGGAGTACCGTATCCGAACACAGAAAACGGATGCAAAGTAGCATTTACCACTCGCTCTCGAGATGTGTGTGGGCGCATGGCGGTTGATGACCCAATCCAAGTCAGTTGTCTGGACACGGACAAAGCCTGGGATCTGTTCAGAAAGAAAGTCGGGGAAAACACACTGGGAAGCCACCCAGACATTCCCAAACTCGCGAGGAAAGTCGCTGGAAAATGTTGTGGCTTACCATTGGCACTCAATGTCATCGGCGAAACTATGGCGAGCAAAAGCACAGTACAAGAGTGGCATAGGGCAATTGATGTTTTGACTTCATCTACCACATATTTCTCTGGCGTGGAAGATGAGATTCTTCCAATTTTGAAGTATAGCTATGATAGTTTAAATGGTGAGCAGGTGAAATCATGTTTCCTCTATTGCTCTCTATTTACCGAAGATTTTGTTTTCAGAAAAGAGAGATTGATAGAGTACTGGATAGGTGAAGGTTTTATAGATGAAAATGAAGGTAGAGAGAGGGCATTAAACCAAGGCTATGAGATACTCGGCACCCTATTCCGTGCATGTTTGTTGGAGGAAGAAAAGAATAAATCAAAATTGAAAATGCATGATGTGGTACGGGAGATGGCCATATGGATAGCCTCGGATCTTGGAAAGCATAAAGAGAAATGTATTGTACAAACTAGAATTGGGTTACGTGAAATACCGAAAGTGAAGAACTGGAAGAACGTGAGAAGAATGTCATTGATGGAAAATGAGATTGAAATGATATCCGGGAGCCTCGACTGTCCTGACCTCACAACTCTCTTCCTTCAGAAAAATAAATACTTAGTAACAATCTCAGGTGAATTCTTTCGGTCTATGCCTAAGCTACGCCTTCTGGAGTTATCACGGAATAAACGGCTATGTGGATTGCCAGAGCAAATATCAGGGTTGGTTTCTCTGAGATATCTTGACTTGTCATGGACAAAGATAGAGCGACTACCTGTTGGTTTACAAGAGTTGAAAATGCTAATTCAACTGAATTTGGAGTCCACACACAAGCTTGAGAGTTTACAAGGGATATCAAATTTGTCGAGTTTGAGAACATTGAAACTTCGACATTCCAAACTGTTGCTAGATATGAGCGTAATGAAGGAGCTGCAACTCTTAGAACATTTAGAGTTTATAAGCATAAACACCTCGTCAAATTTGGTTGGGAAGCTATTGTTATATGATCCCAGAGTGGGGAGATGCATTCAACAAGTATCTATTGAGGAGCGTCCGGAAGAATCTGTGAGAGTATTAGTTTTGCCAGCTATGGATAATCTGTGTAAAGTTTCGATATGGAATTGTGAAATTTTGGAGATAAAGATAGAGAAGACACCATGGAACAAAAGGCTGACAAGTCCATGCTTCTCAAACCTCTCTTATGTGAAAATAGAAAGGTGTGACGGTTTAAAGGACTTGACGTGGCTGCTGTTTGCTCCAAACCTTACTCAACTTAGACTTTCGAGGCTAAAGCAACTAGAGGCTATAATAAGTAAAGAGAAAGCTGCGAGTGTTTTAGACAAGGAGACATGTAAGCTTCTTCCTTTCGAGAAACTAGAATTCTTTACCTTGTCTGAGTTGCCAGAGCTGAAGAGCATATACTGGAATGCTCTGCCTTTTCAACGTCTAAGCCATTTCCTCATATACGACAATTGTCCGAAGCTGAGAAAGCTTCCATTGGATTCTAAAAGTGTCTTCAAAGTTGAAGAATTTGTCATAAAATACAGAGAGGAAGAATGGATAAAAGGGATTGAATGGGAGGACGAAGCCACGCGACAACGTTTCTTACCTTCATGTAGGCTGATTTAAGCAGCCTTCATGACCCAAAACATTGTTCTGTTTTTATCTTTCTTCTGAAAATTGCATCAGCCTTCTCTGTTTTTCTCTACCTCTGTTTTTCTTCAGTCATTGTCATCTTCTTTATCGTAGTGGTTTGTTTCTTTCAGCTTCATAAAACATTACACAGACCTTTGTTCCTTAACTTGAGTTCTGCTGCTTTTTAAGTTCAATGAAAGTMCGTAACCATCATAAAATAATATTAACGGTCTTATCTTGTGACGGATAAATTACCAAAAGGAAAATTAAAAATGGCGGGTCCCACTTTAATCGGAAGATATCAACGGCTGGATTTGTTCACTCTCTCAGATCAAACTGAAGCGAAGGAAAAAACAAAAAAAAATGCCACTCTCTTTGCAATCTCCGCCTTCTCCGACTCTCTCTGCTTCGATCCAAGTACTCTTTCTCTTCTCTTTCATTCTTCAAATCGCATGTATGTATTTGTACATTGAATCTAACTATCTATGTATTTCTTATTGATGGTATCTTTGAACTGTGCAGAAGGGAAGATGGAAGACGGTTGCTGCCGGATTCTCCGCCGCTCCTCTTCCCGCCGTTAACTTCACTCTCCGGCGATCGATTCCTCGGATTCATGCTTCCTCTAGT